CTGAAGGTTCAGAGAACCTAAGCGGCGAATAAATTCAACGCGCGGGAGGGAAGTCACGAACAAGCACGTCCCTAAAAACAAGGCAAGTTGGTCGAAGTTCGGTCGGAAACGGATGGTTGAGAATCAAAATGGAAAGGGGCGGTGGAGGGGCTTCAATTGATAAAAATTAGACCGCACTCAAACTCCTCTCTTTCAGACCCTGTTCAATTCAGAGTCTGCGGCGGTTCTTATGCTAAGCGCTGAAAAACCGGAGTTAGAACTTGAGAGTAAATCCGGTGGTTATTTTGCGGAAGCTGCTTTTCGCAGTCCTCACCTCCTCTGCAAGGCCAGGGAGCCACAGGTTTTTTGCGCTTATCAGTGTTGCCGCGATTGGCACAAATCCTCCATATTTAGACGGAACTTCATAATTGGGAAGCCAGCGGCTAGATTGTTGAATCGATATCGAATGACCTTGATCGATTAAAAGCATCGCTAAAATAGGGATCTATCGATCAGGATCATTCGATAGTGATTCAACCCGCAGAGGCTGTAGATTTTTATTGCAAAATGTAGGCTGATTGGTGCAATTCCTAAGATACAGTCCAAGCTACATTATGACTGCAAGGCGTTGATTTGGTTCATTTAAGATGCGAGAAGGGGTGAAAGATACAAGAAACATATGGAAATTACGAGCACACGAGTCTCTGTCTACTTCCGTGGTGGAAGCAGTCGACCCCGCACGGCCAAAAATGGACCATAATCCCAAGTAGCAGCTGATTGCGATTAGTTGCGATTTGGTCGGATAATGTATCGCGATTTTATGGACTTCGCATTGCAAGACTTCGCCTTAATTTCAAAATACTGCGATCTTTCCGTTGATAAGTGCTATTTGAAAGTCCATGTTGAGTGATCAAAAACTTCTGCTTATAATCACATGCTGAAAAGATGTTAAATTCTCAAGAATTATGTTTCAGAAGGCGGTACCAACTTATTGGTTTTGTTTGTTTCCTCATAGACTAACTTCATTCGCATCGATCTCTGACCAAAAATCGAGTACACATAATGAATTAATCGCACATCCACCGGTACGTTTAGACAAGATCTTAAAGAATGCATTGGGTCAAGAGAACAACCATGAGAACGACCCTGACTTTGGAGACAGCACTTGAATGCAACTATTCGTGTTCGATGGATGCCCGTGTTGCAGATCCACAAAATTGAAGGCGCGGCAGCTTGCCTTGTTTTCTCACGGTCTCTCGATACCCAAACACTAGCAACTACCCCTTGTGCTTGAAGAATTGCACTTTCACGTAACACAAAAGTAGTATACAGAATTCTTATTTCTCACGACATTGATCATGAATTTGTTATTTGCATCGTTAAAATCTATGGCATCATTGTGAAATTCTCTTGGAATAAACGAGAGAAAATTGCAGAATTAGAAGTTGCTTTTCGGCTTAAAAATAATTTGCCTCAAGTTTGATCGTGTTAACTTAAAGTAAAGCAAATAAAACCTTTCTAAATAACGTGTTATTCACGTTTGCTAAATTCAATGAAAGACATTGTAACTGTACGTATTTGGCAACTATTTGAACACTGTGCGCGAAATGGTAGAATATTGCTTTCGGATAACTTTAAACTTTGATGCTCGGTTAATTAGCTGTTACAAAAAGAGGTAGCAAGAAATTCTGATGAGAAGTTCACCCAGAATCTAGCAAAAACCACTTCAACGACTGTCAGCAGAGTGAGTGACCTTTACGAGAAGTTCTGTGCTTTCCTGATCATGTAACCAGAAGTTTCTCAGCAAAATTTTAATAAAAGAGGAAAAAAACTAAGAAGCACGCAATTTTTTGTTTTTAACTTATTTGTACATCGACCTCCTTGAGTCAAATGCGTCCAATTTTGAGCGTTTAGTTGCACTTACACCACGCTGCAGCACAGTAAAAGCCCAAAACATAAAAGAATAAATTTGAATGCTTTGAAAATCATTAACTTTGACACGGAACCACTATTATATTTACAAAAAACACATTATATTTTCCAGTAGTACATATTTCTTTTTCATCAGTTTAAAAGGGAATAATCAATGCAGAGAGTGCAAACATTTCAAAATCATGAGTTGAAAACCGCTGCCTTCGCGAGTTTAAATATTAGAGCCTAACACAAAGCGGAGCGGCGTGTTAGCAACGCAGAACGCGCACTGGCGCCTACAAACCTAACGGGATACTTCACGCATTGCGCAACGCGTGAAGTATCCCGTTAGGTTTGTAAGCGCTTATGCGCGTGTCTTGCCTGCCGCGCCGCAACGCTTTAAGCAACTATTTCGCGTCAGAGGCGTTGCACAGTATCCTACAAGATTGAAGGCGCACGAAATAACTGGTTATAGAGGACTTTCAATTTTGACTGCATCTGTTGCTGAAAAATGTTTAATTTGGCATTGGAGCGTTTCCTAGGCTCCCGCTTTGGTTTTCATCTTATCATATCCGTACAGTGTACACATGAACATATGTTTGTATCTGCTCTTAGCGTCTGTTCTCTTTCATGACTTGATTCATGAATGAAATGTTTTTAAGAATGAAGGTAGTCGTAGTATACATTTACTTTTGAGGTGGTTCCTGTCATTTAAATGAGAAGAAAAAAATGTGGACATAACATGTCCACAATTTGGACAATTTTGGACATATTCATGGTTGGACATTAAATCATGTGGACTTAATAAAGACTGGACTTAACGTTTAGTGCGGACATAAATAGCGGTGGACATTTATTTAATGGACGAAAGGTAGGTGGACATAAAGTCCTGGAAGCGTGTCCACTCGTCAAAATGGCGTCAAAATGGAAGCCTAAAGTGAATCGATAAATACGATCTGTTCGCGATTGTTGATCAAAAAAGAGTCGCGCCGCTCCATTTTGAGTTGCAACACTCATCAATCGCATCAAGTCCCGACTTCGAGCCACTTATCGTTGAAATTTATTCACTTTGAGCTTCCATTTTGATGCCAGTTTGACGAGTGGAGACAGCGCTCAAAATGCAATCCATATCAAAATGAAACATTTTCAAATCAAGTCCGTTTTGTACACTGGAAAAAAAACACATTGGATCTAGAGTCCAGACTCTTGAAAACAATGATATGAAAAAATACTCTCGATTCAATCGGATTTTTGCTTGAATCAAAACGAAATCCGCTTAAATTAAGAGGCTTGGTTCTTGATTTAAGCTAGATTCTGATTGAATCAAGAGTACTTTTTCTTGTCGATGTTTTTAAAAGTCTGGACTCTAGATTTAATGTGTTTTTTTTTCCAGTGTAGGTCATGAGTTATAGGTATTTGCGCTTGCAGCTTGTCTAATCTCCTCCCGTTCATTTGTTGCAGGTGATCGATTCGAGGACTCACAATCAATCGTCGCGAAGTCGTCGAAGGCGGAAAGCGGTGAACGGTGAGCGCCGACCGCACCCGCACCGTTGTCGTCGCGCCGAGCCTCCAACTTGGACCCAACTTTTTAATCGCCACTCGATAACGGCGCCCGCCCCCTAACTCATCCCCCGCTCCGAGTTGACTTGTTGAACGACCGCATCCTCCCCGTCCAGAGTCGTCATGTGCCCCCACCCCGTCGTTGCCTGTCCTCAATTTCCGCCCTCGACCGCCACCGCTCCGCGTTACGACACGCAACGCAGCGTTACGTAATTGTTATCGCGATCTCTCCCAGTGGGGCATGGACAGCATTTTCTCCAGTAAAAGAGATTTTAAACTTTCAATTGTAGCGTGATACAATTGTTGTAAAAGGTCTCTTTCAACAAATCAACGAACAGATTCTCGTCCTCACTGTTTTTCTTCACAACAAGACGGGTTATTTTCGATGTTTCCAATTATTTTACACAATTTCCCGATGTATTGATTGCGTAATGATTTTCCTTTAACGTGCATATCAATTATTTTTTTTATTTTCTTTTTATTTTTTAATTTTTTCTATTTTTTTTTTTTTAGGCATTGCCAGTGAAAGCGATTTTAAACTTCCAAGTGTAGTGCAATACACTTGTTGCGAAAGGTCTTTTTCAACGAATCAACGAACAGATTCTCGTCCTTACTGTTTTTCTTCACGACAAGGCGCGTTATTTTCGATGTTTCCAATTATTTTAAACAATTTGCCGTTGTATTGATTGCGTAATGCTTTTCCTTTAACGTGCAGATCGATATTTTTTTCCATAAAAATATAAAATTACTTAGTCAATCCGTATACTTACCACCTTTCCTCGTGATTCCAGTGCTCCCATTTCCCGGAACTAGTACCGAATTTCGGAACTTTTGAGATTTTATTGAATTTTTTTTATTGAACTTGTGAAATTCCCAAAATCTTCCGTATGTTTTTCGGAACTTTTAAAAAAAAACCTAAAAACCATCCCGGAGCTTTTACCGGTCATGGAGTGAGAGAAATTTGAACAAAAAAGTTCCGAACCCCGGAACTTTTGACGGACATGAAATGAGAGCACTGCGTAGTTCAGTTACTTACTTACGATTTCTTTTCTCCTTTAGATTTGTATTTATGGAGGGAAAACCTCAAATTTGACCTATCTGACAGTAGTGCCCCAATTTGGTGCGGTTTAGCGCGCACTATCCATTTTACTGTCATCCGCAAACAAATTTCATCCGCCAGTTGTTGGGACGGATGAGTGTCAAAGTTGGCAGAGTTTGCTGTCGCGCACCTCTCTAGTTGTATTGTATCCTCGCGAAGAAAAAAATCTCACCGGAAGCAAACCCGATCGATCGCGAGGGAGTGAAAATCCCAGCCGTCGACAAGTGGGAGGACATAAGCCGATTTGACTTGCAACAAATTCTGAATGAGCCGGACTTATTAAAGTCGCATTATTTTTCCTAGCTACGAACACGGTGAAAATGAGAATCGAAGGACGACTTAAAGAAAATCTCGCGGAAAACTTTTCCGTGTCGGTGATGGTTTTTCTTCATTCTTAGTCTCGACGAAATGTGAACTGTTTGTGAAACCGATTCTAATTTTTTGACGAGTTTATTAAAACGTCTTGTATGAGTTTTTAATATAATTAAAATAAGCGCCAAAGGTAACTTATTCCATACCGCCGAGGAATAAAAAAACTTTAATCTTGACCGAGTGGCCATCTTTGAAACTGGCGTTGGGCTCATCGCGTGGCAGCTTGGAACATTAAATTTGAAGTTGACAACTATTCGGATAGTTTGAGTGGCGACCGTTCCCGGTTCGTTCGTTTCCGCTGACGGGGGTTTTGGTTTTCACGGTGGTGTCGCGCGGTTTTCTTGAGACCGATGTGGCGATGGACTTAGCGCGGCCCGATACCCCTTGCGGAGCCTCGAAATGATCGAAGGCTGGATCCACCGGTTGGTGTTCGCCCTCTGCCTCGTCCAGCTCTTCACGCCAGGTATGTTCAATTATACATCTATGTACGAGCTTTATCTACATTGGAGCTTTTTAAGAGAGCCCGTCACACTGTTAAAAATCGAGGAGTGACATTCGCCGTCGGAGTGTAAATAGATCGCATTTAGTAAAAAGGAGCCAGCGTAATTACAATCGTGTTTTCAAAATGTTTTACACTGGAAAAAAAAACACATTGGATCTAGAGTTCAGACTCTTGAAAACATTGACAAGAAAAAATACTCTTGATTCAATCGGATTTTTGCTTGAATCAAAACGGTATCCGCTTAAATTAAGAGGCTTGGTTCTTGAATCAACCTGGATTCTGATTGAATCAAGTATCCTCTTTCTTGTCGATGTTTTTAAGAGTCTGGACTCTGTGTTTTTTTCCGGTGTAACATCTTCTTTACCTTTAAAAATACTTAATATATGTGCGGTATCAACATTTAGACGATTATTTTCCTTTAAATTCAAGAATTGTTTGGTCGAAAGCAAAAATTATTCGCTATTCAGGGGGATTTGCTTTAGATAATTATGAAGACGTAACATTTTTACAACGTTGCAGTCGCGCTGGTTCCTTTTTGCTCAATGCGATCCATGAAGCGCCAAAAAACCCGAGTAATATGAATGCGAAGTGCATCGCATTTAGCAGAAAGGAACCTAAAAGTTAATACACGGTAATTTTTTCATCGTCAAACATACCATACTTATTGTAGTACTCGATTTGAATCGAGTGAACCCGAGGTTTTCTCTTTGCGATAAACAAACATTGGACGTATTTAAATAAAAAAGAACTATATACATTCTAACATGAGCCCTGAGATCCCTTACGGATACATGCTCGACAAAGTTCGTGTCCAACTGTCACAATTGATATAAATCCTTTTGATTTAAATGAGTCCAATTAAGGTAGACATAAATGGTTATTCTCTTAATTCTATGAGTTAAATTTGGAGTGTTTAAATGTTCCCATTGTATTTTCCGTAAAATTTTGATACTTTAAAAGAACAAATGTCGGCCGTGGAAGCCGTGCTTATGGGCTATATAGACATACCATCCACGTACCATGCCCGGAGGCCGTGAGTTCCGGGCCCAGCACCCGGAACTTTCGACCTCTGAGCCCGGAACGGACGGTATGTCTATACTCGGTATAGCCCGTAACTTTTTTTCAGTGTAAAGAAACGCATACCGTGATTCTTAATTTCAAACCCTGTCTAGAGGTTCATTTGCATTAAGATGCCGAGAGAACTACCCAGAAGCGGAGAAACAAACGCGCAAAAAAAGAAATCTAATAAATAAAGCGACAAAGGAACAGGAAGACATGTCGTAAGCGTGGAAAATAGACAGAGTGAAAAATTCAAAAGCGGCGGCCGTAGCGTGGCAGATAATTCTGGAAATTTACGAGCTCAAAAACGCGAGACAATAATTTGATTCAGGGAATAAAAATTGTCCGGGAATTTCGCCAGCAGGGGTGAATACGTGTATTGAATAAATACTCGCGTTGAAAACGAGGGGTCGCGGCGTCGCCGACGCTAACGCCGCCGCGGCGAAAAGGAAGAGGAGTGTTTGTACGGAATACGCGACAAGGAGGTCTCACAGGTGAGTAAAAAAACGCGAGAGGGGGGAATAAGTGCGATAGATAAAGAAAGGGGGCATAAAGGCAGATGGTAGACGAGAACCGAGATCAATAAGAGACGATATGTAAAGAGATCATTGTGTCGCGGACATAGGTATTGTCGTCTTTTAAAAAATGCAAACACAGTGAAGTATTGTACACCCTCTTTTCCAAGTTTGAGGGTCCGCGTTGCCACTTTTGTGGGTGAGAAATGAGAATGAGCCTTTTTATTTTGCATCTAATGGATATGTTACAGTCAAGCAATTTGACAAATGCCATGGCAAGTGCTCAACTATTCACATTCCAAGTGAAATTCTGTTAATTCTGCACGTAATAATCATTTTTCTTTACGGACAGGAATTGTTTTTCAAAATATGTATTTTTCTATAGGTGCGTAGCGATTTCGAGCTATTAGAAGAGAATGTGCCTAAAATTATGCAGCTTTTTATATGACTTACATTTATGTAGTTAATTTCCACCATTTTGACGCTTGAAAATATATGAGTAGCATTTTAAACAGAAAGATACCTTATAAATAGTTCGTCGTTTGATGAATCCTGTCAAAATATAAAAAATTCGAGAACTCTTTGTAAAAACTTACAAAGTTTCGTAAACTTTCAAAATTTTACCATATATTCGAGAATAACAACCTTTGATTACACTGTAAGTCTCTCTGTATAAGGCTCTACATAAAAAATACATTTTCAGTGTACGTCCACTGGTAAATATCACAGTTACAAGACGTATTTAACATGAGAGTATTTATGCACCACTTCTAATTCTCACGGAAAGCCATTCATTAAGTTCAACAAGCCTTTTTACCCTAATTTCAATAAAAAGTTCGATTTGCTCCTTTCTCTTCTTATTATAGATACATAGTTATCATACATCATGTCAGCACGTTTTACTAACGAACCGATAGCTGGCACCCTCGATACAGATGTATTTACACTTACAGCCGTATGATCATGATGAACCATCATTTTTTATCGTATGATATTGAACAAAAGTTGACTTCAGAAATCAGGGTGAGAAATGTTTTACAGACAAAGCGGAAAACTTCTGAAAGTTTAAAAAACACATTTGGTTGTTCCACGGCTCACACAAAGTTTAAACTGGTGTCAGGGGACTGAAAATGAAGTTTCGGGGATCAAACTTTTTACAAAGTAAACTTTGGAACAAGTTTGCTTTCATTCAATTCGATTTTTTCAAAAAAGTCATTCACCTCCTTTATTCTGCGGATACCTCAATTGAATAAGACGTATCAAGATTGGCAAATTTTCTGATATTACGATGAGTTCTAATATTTTTATATACGATTTGGTAATTTTTGAAAGTTCTCTACATACCTAATTGGTCGCCGCACATCATTAAAATATTTTTCTATACATATCACAAATCAATGAGCTGGTCCTCTTTTTGTATCAATTACTTTTCTCCACTTGTTTAACCTCTTTGAGGTATACTCGGAGGGCAACAATTTGAACTGAGATTATTAAAATAAGTAGTCTCGTTTATCAAATCAAAATTGAGACTTAAAAAATGGAGTCTTTGTGAACATATGAGCTTCAATACTTAGCTCTGTGAGCAATTTAGGTCAGCACATGCGCGGCGCCGCTCACTGTTTGGGACGTGGGAGAAAGTGAGAAAGCAGCGCAAGCTGTAGCGCCTTCAATTATGTGAATCTGCAATACGGGCATCCATAGAGCACGAATAGTTGTATTTAGGAGTTGTCATCAATGACATGTCTTTGCGTTTGCCAGCTGAAACACAATGGACCGTTTTTATGATCGTTCTTTTAACCCAATGGCCTCATCAAAACCTTGTCTTTACGTAACGCTGGTCGTGCGATTAATTAATGTCTTGCGCTTTATTATTAGTGAGAGATAAATGCAAATGAAACTAGTCTATGCGAGAAATCATACAGAACCACGCAATGGCTCAAACTATTCGACTGATCCGAACACGGGAAAGTACCAACAGTTGGTACTTCCCTAAAAGAAACCTAATAGCTCTTGAAATTTAATAATATTTTCTGCGTGTGGTCTTTAGCAGAATTTATTGGCGAACGATTGGAAATGAGCACAAAATTTCCAGCCTATGTTTCGGCTATTTTTTTCGCACTAAAACATCAATTATCCTGTCACGTGAGGCTTTCTTCGTAATTACTTCAGTGGTTTCTTGTGCCACAGAATCGTGTTTTGATAGTGATTTTTGAAAATTAGAAAAATTTAATAAGATACGTTCATACGTCAAGTCTTCTTGTTCGATAATAACGTTTCAGGACAAATTAGTGTAGCTCCGTGTAACACAAAATTGCATAACATGGTTTATTGCACCTTGATGTGACAGCTGTCCTGTGTGCATCCTTATGAGGGTGGCCTGGCCAGACTATTTACACAATTTTGTTTGGACCAAAGTTTCTCTGGTCCATCTTTAATTTTTTAATTTTTAATCGGTAAATCTCCATTTTTTAAAAAGAAAACTGAC